TTTCTCTGGAGGGCTGTTGGACAATCCAGCCTTACATGCAGTGTCACCTTGTGGCGTACAGGCAGACTTCAGAGAGATTCCCGTTTAGATCCAGACCACCATCATTTGCATAGCGCGTTAAAGCAAGTGGGATTCATTTTCAACTTCCAGTGCATAGAACAGTTAGGTTTCACTCTCCTGTTGTTTACAAAGCAGCTCTGAGGGTGCGGCGTGTTACATGTCACACTGCTAACCAGAAAGTCAATGGTTTGAGTCCAGCAGCTGCTTGGCAGAAGGAAGGAAGACAATGTCTTCCACCGTCTCAGAAACCCACTGGAGGAGGGTCATGAACTGGAATCGGCTGTGAGGCAGTGGGTTTGGTCTGAGGAGTCTGGGAAGTGTACAAGAAGGTGGACCTATTGTAGGAATGACCAGATATGACATGGAGACATGAAGTGAGCGTGTGCCGCAGGGAAGAGGTGCTGGGAGATTTGCTTCATGTATGGTTGCCTCAGTCTCCCAGTTTATTAAAAATGCTCTATCTAGGAATTGCAATAACTTGAATCACAGTAAAACGTGATAAGTCTGTGTGTGCTCCCTTTGCCATCGCAACAGGCCAGGTCTCTGATAACTTGTGTTCCCCCAAACCAGCAGCTCGGGGTCATGCCTTCACAGGAATGGCAGACACACCAATGGGGTACCTGCCGTTGACCCTGGGCTGCCCAGTCCCCTCCCCACAGCTTGCTCTTTCTAGAATGCCATCTAACAGGGACTGAGGTGCAATCTGAATTTTGATCGCAGGTGAGTGAGTGATGTGCTTTCTAATTAGACTTGCCTGCCAGACTCCTTGGCTGTGAGGCTCACCCAGGAGGGAAGATCTGAAGCAATGGTGTCAAAGGTCAGAGAAACATTTACACAGCAAGTGAGGCCTTGCTTAGCAATTGGTTAAAAAAATAAGGCAGGAAAGAAGGAAATGTTTGCCTCAGGCTGCCACCCAGCACCATATCACTTGTACAAAGTTGGATCTAAGTTTCTGTTTTCTAAAAAGACAAGTTACTGCTGTGATAATCAGAAGGTCACCATGCATTTCTATTTGCATACAAATGAAGTACTTCCACATCTTCTTCCCTCCAAAAGGAGGAAGAGTTGGTTTGTTGTCCTGAAAACCAGAGCACTCTCTCTAGTAACCTTGAGCACTTGCCAGAACTTTTTAGATTCAAGAGAGAGAAAACCAATTGCCTCAGCTGTCTAATGCTCCCAGAACCAAAATACTGCAAGTACATCGTTTTAACAAGCAGAAATTTACCCTCTCAGAGTGCAGGAGGTCAAAGTCCAGATTCAGGCTGCTGACCCCCGGGGGCTGTTTTCTCTCTGTCACTGCTGGAGGGAGATGCCTGCTTTCTTCAGCCTCCTGAGAGTGGCATTCCGCAGAGATGTCCATGTGAGTTCTCTGTATGAATTCCCACCACAGGGGCCCGGGTGCAGAGGACTCACTCAGCTCTATCCCAGGAGAAGCCAGAGGCCACACTGTGAGGACACCCAAGTGGCCCCCTGGAGAGTTCCATGTGGCCAAGAGTGGAGGTCTGTCACTCACTCTTTCTGAGTGACCCTGGAACTGGACCTGGGACATTAAAGGCTACATCCTTTCTTGTCTGCAGCCTCATTTGAGACTCTGAGCCAGCATCAGCCAGCCGCGCTCCTCATAAATCCCTGACTCGCAGAATCCGAGGTAATAAATGTTTATTGTCTTAAGCCACTAAGTTTTGTGGTCATTTGTTACACAGCAATAGAGAACGGAATTAATCATCTCCCACATTATTCTTTCTCATTGCACTTGTGACAATTGCACTGCAATAATTAACTGCAGAGTTCCTTGTTTAGAAACGTCTGTCGCAGTCCTGGCCCTGCCCTCAGTTCCTGCTCCTGAGTCTCAAGTTCCCAGCGGGAACCTGACCGGAGGCGGTTCAAGTCCGTGCTGGGGGCTGTGGCGTGCCACTCACAGTGGGCGATTGCAGCCGAGCACGCACCATGATGACACAGTGTGCTAAGCTTTAGGCTGTTAAACAAAAGGTCAGCATTTAAAATCCACCAGCTGTTCTGTGGGAGAAAGGCCTGGCTGGCTGCTTCTGTAAAGATTGTGGCCTTGGAAACCCCACAGGACAGTTTTGTTCTGTCCGATATGGTCATTCTGACTCAGAATGGACTTGATAGCAAGGTATTTCTTTTGTTTTTGAGTAAAGGTTTACAAATCATAGAGTTTTCATATAATCATATACATTTTGTTTATGAATCCAGTAGATGGATTCAAACCACCTGCCTTTGCGTCAGCAGCACAACTCTTTACCCACAAGGCCACCAGAGCCCCCTTAATTGTCATTGATTAATGTAATTAATTATTCAGTGTTTGAGCAACCCTTTCTTATACACTGCTTTTCTATTCACCCAACTTACATATTTATTAATTTTACTCCCTTCTCTCTTCCTTTCCAGCTCTGTTATCCTCCAAGATGGGTTCTGCCATGTTAAATCTGTTCTTAGCTTTTTATAAAACCTCTCTCTCTCTTCTTTTGAGTTGGAGCTGACTCACAGCTGGCCTTTTAGTGGGTTTCCAGGGAATGTAGATCTCATAAGAGGAGATTGCCTATCTTTTTCTTATAGAGCAACTGGTGGATTTGAACTGTCTGTCTTTGGTTTAGCAGGGTAAATCCTTACCACTAGGCCAACAGAGCTTCACTTTTTATAATAGTGGTCCTATACCATTTAAAATATTCTGAACTGTTGTTAGGTGCCGCCCAGTCCATTCCTACTCACAGTGATGAGTAACAGGCGCCCTAGGAGAGTCTAGGGTCTGAGTCCTTGCTCTCTCTCCTGTGCCAGTCTCAGCCTTTCTGTCATGTTCAAATCTGTTGTGGCAGCCAGCAGGCCAGCCTATCTCATTAAGGGTCTTCCTCTCTTCCACTGACCCTCTCTCTACCTCTTCCAGAAAAATCTGTGTAAGTGCTTTTGAAATATGACAGCATGAAGATGGTGGCGGTGTGATATTGTGGTGTAATAGTGCAGATTTGATTATTTTGGCTTCTTGGAATGAAAGCTGAGCCAAGGGGTGAGTTGAGTCCCAGGCACAGGTGACTCCACCGTCGCTGGGTGCCACCTGAGTCTGGTCTTTCACTCTGTTGTTTTTACTTTGAGTCTTAATATACATTTCGTTACGAAAAAGTTTTTTGATGGCACAAACAATTCAACTCCTGCTACTTACAGAAGGACTGGGGGTCCAAGCCCACCGGAAAGTCCTCAGACACAAGGCTCTGCTTTGCTCCACAAAGCCCATGGCCGTCAAGTACCCTCTGAGCATACTGGTGCCCTGGTACTTGTGGGGGTGCCAGGGGTCAGCACCCACTCCTGGAGCTCCTGGTGGTCTCCTCGAGACACTAGATCTAGAACTCGTCTTGCAGGCAGACCCCAGGATCCTGTGCATTCAGTTCCTGAACACGGCAGGAAAGTGTCCACCCAACAGGGCGAGACATGCAGCCTTTTTGTTTCCTGGTGCATAGAAAAATCGATGTTGGCACTTGACTGAAGCCTGCTACACGTGCACAACATGCTGGGAACATTGCAAGAATGGCCACAAGGGGAAAAGCACTGCCAGGAGACTTGTTCAACGCATTGTTGACACAAACCTTCTGTTTGTAAAACCCCAGTACACTCCACAAAGTGAAACACAGTAACACAAGGTCCGCTAGTCATCATGCAATTAATTAGATTCTTTTGACTCATTCATTTGTCTAATCAACAGAAACACTTTTTAAAAATAAGGTCTACCTTCAGGACTTCAGTGTTTGAAGTTCTTGTGTGTCAGGGAGCTCTGGTGGCTTAGTGGTGAGAAACAGAACTGCGAGCTCACAGCAAGAGAGCTTCTCTCGCATACGTTGGGGGTGTTGTTAGAGGGGTTATTCCTTGGAAAGGGACATCATGCTTGTAAAGCTGGAGGGTCAGCAGAGAGAAGACGACCACCCAATAAGATGGACTGACCCAGTCACTGCAGCAATGGGCTCAAGTGTGTCAGAGATTGTGAGGACGGCACAGGACAGAGCAGGGCTCAGATCTGTTGTTCATAGGGTTCGCTCTAAGTTGCTCTTGACTTCTTGACAGCACCAAACAACATCAACAACATACACATGGAATATTATATAGCCTTAAAAAGGAATTTACTTGATAACTGCCAACACAAAGTTAAAGGTATCTTTTGTAAGTGGGATTATCTATTTGTCCTTCTGTGTCTGACTTATCTCACTCAGTATGATGCTTCCAAGATCACCTACGCTGTAGGATGTACCAGCATTTGGGTCAACCAGTTAATTTTTGCTTCAACTTGACATGAAGTGAACTGCTCCCATTGAATTTCCTACACTGTTGTGAAGATGACAGCTTTGGAAATGTTGTGGGCTGTTCGACACTTTCCAACAGGGCCGGACACCCAGCAACTGTCTTCACTGAAGCACATCTCCAGGTCTTTCTCCCTCAGAGCTGTTGGGAGGGTCCAAACCACTAACTCTACCTTAGGTTAGCTGAGTGCTTAACTGTTAAGACACCCTGAATCTATATAACTGGCTATGATACATCCATGAAAAGAAGTGGGATTCTTATATACGCTATGGTAAATAAACCTTATATTGAGTCAACAAGTTAAACATAAAAATGTACATATTGTTCTTACTTAGTTCTCTGTTGTTGGGTACCATCAAGTCATAATCAATGCATAGCTGACCCTCCAGTGGGTTTTCAGAAGCAGTAAATCACAGAGAAAGAGATTGTCTCTCCTCCCAAGGAGCAGATGGTAATTTTGAACTGTGTGTCTTTGGGACTGCAGTACAGGTTCTTACCACGAGGCCACCAGAGCTCTCAGTTAGATCAGAAGTTCTATCAGTAAAATCTAGCACTGTTATATCAGAAATACCATGGTGTAGACGGCTAGGACAAATAGAAAGTTGTTTTCTTGCAATTTAGGAGGCTAGAATGCTCCTCTAGGGGAAGCCCCTGACTGTCTTCCTCAGCATCTGCATCAGCGTCAGCATCTGCATCAGCATCTGCATCTGCATCAGCATCTGCATCAGCGTCAGCATCAGCATCAGCATCTGCATCAGCATCTGCATCAGCGTCAGCGTCAGCATCAGCATCTGCATCAGCGTCAGCGTCAGCATCAGCATCTGCATCAGCGTCAGCGTCTGCATCAGCATCAGCATCAGCATCAGCATCTGCATCAGTGTCAGCATCTGCATCAGCGTCAGCATCTGCATCAGCATCAGCATCAGCATCAGCGTCTGCATCAGCGTCAGCGTCAGCATCTGCATCAGCGTCAGCGTCAGCATCTGCATCAGCATCAGCATCAACATCAGCGTCTGCATCAGCGTCAGCATCTGCATCAGCATCTGCATCTGCATCAGCGTCAGCATCAGCATCAGCATCAACATCAGCATCAACATCAGCATCTGCATCAGCGTCAGCATCAGCATCTGCATCAGCGTCAGCGTCAGCATCTGCATCAGCATCAGCATCAACATCAGCATCTGCATCAGCGTCAGCATCAGCATCTGCATCAGCGTCAGCATCTGCATCAGCATCAGCATCAACATCAGCATCTGCATCAGCATCAGCATCTGCATCAGCATCAACATCAGCATCAACATCAGCATCTGCATCAGCATCAGCATCAGCATCTGCATCAGCATCAGCATCAACATCAGCATCTGCATCAGCATCTGCATCAGCATCAGCATCAGCATCAGCATCAGCATCTGCATCTGCATCAGCGTCAGTGTCAGCATCAGCATCAGCATCAGCATCAGCATCTGCATCAGCATCAACATCAGCATCAGCATCTGCATCTGCATCTGCATCTGCATCAGCATCTGCATCTGCATCTGCATCAGCATCAGCATGCCTGGAGCTCCTTGGAGGTCTCTGAGTGTCTTCCCCGGAGTCCAGGAGCTTCCTCACAGAGACCAGTCACCAAAAGGATGCACTTCACTTCCAGCATTCTTTCTGGTGCAAATCCCTCCCCAGTGCTGTTCCCTACAGGTGAGACCTGGGGAACTCCTCTTGCATCGGAGCAGCGTGGTGATGAGATCAGAGAGTGTCACAGTTCTGTCCTTAATCCTCTTAAAAGCATTTGGTTTATCAGATCACAGGGATTTGCTGTTTCCATCCTGTATCACCATGCACGGGTATTTGGGGAATGCAATTCAATCCATGACTTAGTTCCCCAGTGATGGACCCAGTCAGGATGCTGATGGCACCCTGTGCTCTGCAGCACCTGGGCTTCAGTCCCTAAATCACAGCGATCCAGCTGCGGCCTCCCTGAGAAAAGGATGGTGAGACACACGTGGGGTGCTGTGAGCGTGTAACTCTATTTCCTATGTCGAGTCTTTAAACAGGCATTTAAATATTTCAAATACTAAATTTTTTAGAATTCATAAATTTGGAACTGTAACAAGATCACACACACAAAAAATACCCGCCCATGTCCCACCAATAAGAACCAGGCCCGACTTAGTCCTGTGTATGCCATTTATTTCCAGTCCCACCTGGACGGTCCCAGGGGAGTTGCCTTCTCTCTGAGCCGAGTCCAGAGGCAGGAAGCAGACCCTCTGTTAACTAATCTTAACTCTCCACCTGCTCACACTACCTGCAAGACACCAGTCCTTCCTCCTCCTGTGCCAACATCAATCCCGGAATATGAAATTTTAACTATCAATAAATATTCCAACACCCGCATGAGGGAGCATCTAATTCCAGCATCAAAATGCAGATAGGCATGAATATATATGTGGATTTATGACAAAAGGAATCTTATCTGGAGGCACCTCCCTGAAAGAGCCAGGGGTGGGGGAAGGACAGGGCCATGAAAGATTTGGGAAAGTCTTTCTTCCATGCCAATCCCCCACCTCTGCCCCCACCACCGTTCCTCCCTAACTTGGTGGGTCCTGTAATCTCATTTAATTAATAACAAACATAGCTGGGCCCTCACTTCCATTTAAATGATTTTTGAAAATTAGATGGCTGGATGCTTCTTCTGAAAATCCTTTGAAAAATAAACCTTGTCAGAAGTGAGTGATTTATTTTCACTCCGAATGGCTGGCAGGAGATGCCTCAGAAGAGGAGTGAATTGATGCTGCTCGCAGCTAGCGGGCCCACAGCAGAGTGGGGCCAATTTGCTTTCTTCTTGGGCGTGTGCACGGCTGCTTTCTCATTAGGAGGCCCCCTCTGCTGTCTCATGCCTCCTTGCACCCCAAGCCTTGGAGTCCAGCCTGGACAAGCCACAGAGCCAAGTAGGCAGTGGAAGGACAGCTGGGGCTGGCCGCCAAAGTCATTGAGAGGAGAGCGGGGCTCCCAGCGTCATGCTGCCTCTGCCCTGGTCTTGGTTTGCTGACCTTCCCAGCCAACATTCCTGAGTGCATTCGGTCCAATTGCAGGTGCCTCAGTTTGCTGGTATCACTGCACCAGAAGTCTCGCAATGGAGCAGGTTGTTGCTGCTGTCAGGGGCTGCTGAGCTGCTAGGACGCACAGTGATCCGAGGGACAGATCTGAACCTTGCTCGCTGTGCAGTCAGCCCAATCCCCATCCCACTCAAGCCCACTGCTACAGCCCCCGCGCCACTCCACCTCAGTCCTCACTCAGTCTTCCTCTCTTTGGCTGACCCTCCACCTTCTCCCAAGAAGTGGTCACTCCTGACAAAATGTCCAGTGTGTGAGATGAAGTTTCAGCTTTCTTTCCTCCAAGGAGCACCTTGGTGGTTCTTCCTCCAAGATAAATATGTTTGTTCTTCTGACAGGCTGTGAGATATTCAATATTCTTCACCAGGACCACGATTCAAAGGCATCAATTCTTCCTCAGTCTTACTTATTCATTATTCACATTTCAGATGCACAGAAAGCAGGTGAAAATATGATGACTTAGGGAAGGTGCACCTTAGTCTTTTAACTGATATTCTTGCTCTTTAGCATTTTAAAGAGATCCTTGAATGCAGATTTGTCCACTGCAACATGTCTTTGGAGCCACCTCCCTTGTTTAGGAGGCTTTGAGTCCCTATTGAGGCTCTAAAGGAAGGCTTTCTCTCTGTTGGCGCTGGGGACAGGTTCTGGTCTCCATCAATGTCTCTTCTTCGATTCCTTGGCTGTGCCCTGGTGGCATAGCAGGTCAAGCATTGAACTGCTGAGCAAAAAGGGAGAGTCACCCCGAGTTGGAATAGACTCAGCTGTGGGTTATTTCCTCCCTAAGTTCCTTGATGAAGGCCTCACCTCTTCCCCAGTCTGTTGTTGCTTCCTTTTAGAACTCCGAGAGGGTGGGTCTGAGACACAGGCCCCTCTGATACCTCACCAGAATAAGAAGACCCTGCTCTCAAGTGGGCTTGCAGGGCTGTGCTATTGTGAGGTGCTGGATGTGCGGTGACCCCAAGTGCTGCGTGCCTGAGCCCACTGCTGTGGCCCCTGTGAGTCCATCTCTGACCGCCACTTTACCATGAGTGATCAGCTTGAAGGCATCTAACAGTAACAAGGCAAACACACGTGGAGCTAATGACTGGGTCTGCAGAGCACTCTTCAGGTGAGAGCTTGCTGCCATGAAGCAAGGGAGCTCTGACGGCCTAGTGAATAAAGAGCCGTGCTGCCAACATAAAGGATGCTGGTTGGAATCCATCAGCTGCCCTTTGGGAGAAAGACGGCTCTGATAGGATCTACAGCCCCTGAAAACCTAGTGGAGGGGCAGCACAGTGAGGACGTGGTTCCGACCCGACGGCGACAAGCTGCTGAGTTGGTTCTGCCACCGGACTGTTGCACTCAATCACAGTGGCCTTCTAATGACTTTGGGAGGCTGTGGATCTGGGGGGGGCAGACTGTTGCGCTCAATCACAGTGGCCTTCTAACGACTTTGGGAGGCTGTGTGGATCTGGGGGGCGGGGGGCAGTGCTCATATTGGTGGAGGATTGCTGTGTGATTTATAGCCTCTGAAACCCTGCTGGCCATTCAGCTATGAGTTCTGGCGGTGGGTTTGGACACTTTTATGCCATCGAGCTCCGTTTGATTAATGTGTTGTTGAGTGCTCTGGGAATACACTCATCGCTGGTCCCTCCAGTGGGTTTTCAGAGGCAGTAAATTGTACAGGAGGAGACTGCCTATCTTTCTCCCATGGAGCAACTGGTGGATTAAAACCCCAAACCTTCGGGTTGGCAGGACAATTCTTTGCCACTAAGTCACCAGTGATTCCTCTTGTGTCTGGTCTGATGGTGTAAAGAAGGCGGATTCTCTGCTTACATACGTGACTCTCTCGCCCACGTGTTCTCCCTGACAGCCCTGACATTGGAGGGGGAGAACTGACTGTCTCTTTACTGTTGTATCCAGGAGGCAGGGAGGGAAAGAGAAAAGAGAGAGAGGAATCTGGACATTATAGGTGATATTGATTACCACCATATACACAGAGACAGTAATCGGGGCTAGAGGGTGAGGGGGAAGCCAATCAATAAATGCATTTCTCTATGTGACCTTCGATAATGTGTGCTAATGAGAGGGGCTCTCACTGATTTTTAACCTGCTGTTAAATATTAATTATGAGTCATCTGCCTTGACCTCAGATGGGGGCTTAGCGTCCACCTCCCAGTCTTTCTCTGGGCCTCCCCATTCCTACCCTGCCGCCTCTGTGTCCAGCAGATTCAGAACCACCCTTGGCACCGCAGACAAGACAGCCTCAGACACAATGCGTCGTTGGTGCACGCAGAGCTCATGATATTAGTGGGGCTTAAAAAAATGTCTTGGCCAGGAATTAAAAATAGCTTTTTCTTCCCTGCATCCCGCTTGCTCTTTCTCTCTCTTGCCAGATTTAGAATCTTCAGAGCACTGGTAGGTCACCTCCTAGTTAGTATTCCTGCAGCACCTCATATTTGCAACATGTCTGGGAATCATTTTATTTTAAATACCAGTTCCTTACCACATTCCTGGGAGGGAGTTGCACTTTGCCAGCTTACCTTTAAATGCAGAGAAAGGAAAGTGGAGGGGATGAGGGGCTTACCCCAGAGCCCTCAGGGGCTGACTTAGAACTTTCACAAAAACTCAGGACTTGTCTCTGAGTTGGAGCCACTCAAGGAGAGGTGATTCTGGCCCCCACTTTTCCACGTGTCTGGGAGCTCTGGGGGTGCTGTGGGCAAGGCTGGCAGTTTGATCCCACAGTCGCTCCATGGGAGGCAGTCTGCTTCTGTAGAGATTTACTGCAATCCTGCAGTTCTGCTCTGCCCCACAGGCTCGCTCTAGCCGGAATCTGCTCATCAGAAGTGGGGTGTGTTTGTTTTTATGTGTCCTATATGGGTTCTTTGCCACCTTAGAATGAAAAAAATTCCCTGGAAGGGCCATTAAAAAAGTGACAGTGAAAATTTACAGAGCAAATGGCTCTCGATTGAACAATCCCTACGCTTTGAGTTCCGTGACACTGATTCCACCTCCACAAGGTAGCAGGGATCCTCCCACTTTCTCTCCAGGTTTCTCGTCTGTCCTCTCTCCTCCCATCTGTCCTCTCTCCTCCTGCTGTCGGAGCCTCATCCCCGGGCAGATGCTGCCCGCTGCTCTCCCGAGGTGGACTGTTCTAAGGATTGAGCACCTCCCCGCTGCTCCTACTTACCACAGAGGCCTGTCTACTGTTGGACTAGGTTCAGTTCCAGACTTGACGGGTGCCCAAGGGTCCTGGTCTTGGGGGTTCCATGAGGTTCTATCAGACCAGTCAGCCTTCCCCTTCTTGCTTGTTTTTCTTGTTTATGATTCTGAGTTTTGCTTCAGATTGCTCTCCCACTCTGCCAGGGTCTCTACCACAGCCCCTTTCAGAGCAGTTGGCATGGGCCCCTGGGCACCATCTGGGCCTTCTAATCTCAGGTTTGTGGAGACTGGAGTTTGCATGGTCC